TAACCTGTGTAAACTGGAGGTTTGCCTTTATCGTGTCTTTGAAACGCTTTTCTGGCGTCCCGAGATTTATTTTGCCACTTGCGCGTTCGCCGTACATAAATCATTACAGTTTCCCCGACTCCAGGAAGAAACATTGTTACGGGGAAATGTTTAGGATACCATACCGCGAGTCAAATATAAAACAAAACTCTTAAACCAACACTCTGCGACACGAGGTTGCAGTAACCTGCCATCTTAATTAATCTTGAAGTTGCCCGTCTTGGCGTTATCATACTAAATTGCAATCACAAACATAATCATGCGTGTTTTCGTGATGAAATAAGGCTCTCGTCTTAAATTATGAAAGGAAAGAAGCCGACAGTTCCCCCATCGTTTGGTAATTTTTATATATTTTTTGTGTTCAATACCTTCTTTGTTCATTTAAAACATTAATGAGAGGATTTTTACTTTTACCAAACGCACAAAAAATGCAATTTTGCATTTTCTAATTTCCAAGGACATTCATGCTTGAGAAATTACCAAACTTCGGAAGCCATTTTTTCTCTATTCTTACTTGTGACACCAAGCGATCCCCAAAAAACTTCAGTCGCAAATATGTGTATATTTTAAAACCAAAAGGAAAAAAAAAGAAAAAGAAGAAACTGTAAGGTCAACTCCACATCGTCGCTATCGCATGCAATCCAGTTATCAAGTCCAAATTTTGAAAAAGAAAACTAATATTTCTACACCCTCACTAAGCACTATCAAAGATATGCATTTCAAATTCACTAAAATGCTGTTTAATGTTATGGTAAAGGCTTACATTTTTCTTGCTTTTCATTATTCCTGATAGGAACAACACAAGAAAAAGTAGGGGTTTTTTGTTTGACTTTTTTGTAAAAAGTAACTAAACGGACTTCAGTGCATTGTTTGCGACACCGATGATATACCGAAGAATTGACAAAATCCGGAAAAACAGAGTGTCGAGACACATTCTTTCATCGTAATTACTCACGAAACAGAAATCTAGTATTGAGCAGTCTTTGGAAGCCAGAAGGCCTACTTTTATAACTCATCATCCATACATATTATATTTGTGAAAGTTCGTCACTTTGGCCGACTTAAACTTCCAAACCACTTAACTTTCGAATTTGATCAAATTAACGGTGGATCAGAATCATTTAAAGGGTGCACAGTTTTATTGAGGAACCTGAAGTCACTGTAGTTTCATTTTCAGTTTTTCGTTAGTTTCGTTTCGATCTAATCTTGGGAAAGTCAGTCTTCTAAGACGTCATTGTAAACAAGTGAGATTAACATTCTCTAGCCGAGCGCACCGCTGATTCCACACCTTTTAAATTCTGGAGTGCACAACCACAAAAGCGGAATAGAGAATCAATCTATACATTTATAATATATTTGGCAACTTGGAAACACATGTGTCACTTTTCCCATAAAACTACGACAGCTTCAGAGTTGAAAGTTGGCCAGTATATGCGAAAAGATAGATAGGTCCCATGACAGAGCCCGATTTTTTGCTTTATTCATTTCCTGAATTTAGAAAATTATATATTTGACAAAAAGTTCCCGTCCTTCTTTGGCTTTTGTGATTATTCTACTAAGAAAAGAAACAAATCTGCGTGGCTGTCCTTCACAACTGAAGTACCGGAAATGATATTTCGTGAGACACATTTTGTTTTGAGAATATACATCTAAAACTATTTTTTTAGATCTCTCAAGATTTATTGCTCCATTCCAGTAAAGTGTAAATATAGTAGCCCAATAACTTCCAGTTGATGTTAATGAACCGATCATTCCTTTCATCGAAAGAGGGCTCAGCTAGTCACATTGTATTCCTGAAAATTGATAATAATAACACTAATAATTGTGTAGATTATTTCTATAGCGCCCACTCCCATGTGAACACAGCTCAAGAGGCTTTACATAAATGCACGTACGAACAATATTCACCCCACCCCCACAAACACACACACACACAAACACACACACACACACACA